TTAGTTTACAGATTCCTAGAAAACGATATTAAAAACTACCATGATGACGGTGAACATGGAGCGGGCCGACGCCTCCTTAAATTCATGCAATACAATCAAATCATCAATGCGGCTTTCGTTGTGACGAGGTGGATGGGAGAGCATATTGGACCCGAGCGCTTTACCATCATGGAGAACCTCCTGAACGATGTTGCAAATCTACTACAGGAATGATAAGCAAGAGGCCCATGGGCTACATCGCTCACCTGAGCACTGTGGCTAGGTAAAACTATACATTGGTTTATTATTGAAAAAGTAAAATCCAAAAGTAGTCCCATGAACAATCATGGATTTTCTATCTTAGAGAAGATTTTTAAAGAATTTTCCTGTATATTTCTATGTAAAACTTTGGTCGGCCATTTTGGCCCCGCCCTACCCCCGGGGGTCATGATTTGAACAAACTTGAATTTACACTAACTGAGGATGCTTCTATGTAAATATGATGAATTATGGCTTGGTCATTCTTGAGAAGGAGATTTTTAAAGAATTTTCCTATATATGTCTATGTAAAATTGTGGTCGGCCATTGTGGCCCCGCCCTACCCCCGGGGGGTCATGATTTGAACAAACTTGAATCTACACTACCTGAGGATGCTTCCATATAAATATGATGAATTATGGCTAGGTCATTCTTGAAAAGATTTTTAAAGAATTTTCCTATATTTTTCTATATAAAACTTGGTCGGCCATTTTGGCCCCGCCCTACCCCCGGGGGTCATGATTTGAACAAACTTGCATTTACACTACCTGGGGATGCTTCCATATAAATATGATGAATTATGGCTTGGTCATTCTTGAGAAGAAGATTTTTCAAGAATTTTCCTATATATTTCTATGTAAAACTTATGTCGGCCATTGTGGCCCCGCCCTACCCCCGGGGGTCATGATTTGAACAAACTTGAATCTACACTACCTGAGGATGATTCCCCATAAGTTTCATCTTTCCTGGCACAGTGGTTCTTGAGAAGAAGATTTTTAAAACATGCCACCAAATTTTCATTAATTGCCAATTATCTCCCCTTGAATGAGGGCGTGGCCCTTCATTTGAACAAACTTGAATCCCCTTCACCCAAGGATACTTTGTGGCAAGTTTGGTTGAAATTGGCCCAGCGGTTCTTGAGAAGAAGTCGAACATGTGAAAAGTTTACAGACAGACAGACAGACGGACGCCGGACAAAATGTGATCAGAAAAGCTCACTTGAGCCTTCGGCTATTATCAGAATAAAGAAAAACTAAGGCAAATAATAATTGTTCTCCCGAACCGATAAGAATATATTAATATATGTCCCCTGTTTCACACATACGTTGTCTTTAAAAAAATTACATAAAAATTATTGATCTTCTTAATCTTCGTGATCTTCTTGGGCATGAAAAAACATGCGTGTATATGAAAATCTTCCTTCTGGATGCACAGATTGAAGTCATTCCGCCCAAATGAAATTAACAAACTGAATGACTTCACAAGAATGAACGTGAATTAGACCCAATTCCTGATGATACTTAACAAGATTATTCTTTCAATTTAGTGTAAATCTACAGTTATTTTGCGTTACCAACTCTCGAACAACCCACATAACTATGTATTGCTTACGCCTTTATTAATTATTTTTTCCCAATAATTAGTCCTAAAACATTTCAAAATTTATAATTGATCATAATTCAATGTTAAAATATCCCTTCATTATTATATTTCTCTGATTATTCTTTGTCAAGTATAGTTACGCCATTTTGAGAGAATGAAACAATGTACGATTTACTAAATGTCGTGATTAATTAGCGTAATTAATTCGTTCAATTATGTAAATCGCACTTCACCTGAGTATACCCCGATAAACCAGACGTATTTCATACTGGTCCGGATTTCTTTCTTTAATAGTGTTTATATTCACATATTCACATTCACACGTTTTGCTTGTATGTAATCTTTGGATTTATATCGAATTAAATCAACACGTTCGATCTTATATTCCAATCGACAGATCAATATACTAATATTTTGATTGGTTGATGCGCTGATTGGTTAATCGCTAATCCTGATTGACAGCTCCGAAAAGAAATACCGAACCCGCTTTCGCTCTCTGGGACCACTTCTGAATTTGGGGTCCGCTCGGGGTTCGCTTTGGGTCCTCTCCGGGTTCGCTCGGGGTCAGCCCTAGCGGACCCAGAGAGCGAACCCGGGGTCCGCTCCGGGTTCGCTTTCTGTTAGGTTGTGTGCGGTCGGTACTGTATTTCTGTTTAAAGTGGGGATGAAAGATAGTAAAATGTGTAATATCTGTAATTCAGCTGAAGAAACAATTTATCATATACTGTGGGAATGTCCCTTTGGTCAAGATCTTATTAATTTATTTTTTGAATTTTGTCATACAAGGGATATTGTTATTCCAAGAGATCCTTGTTCTTTTATTTTGGGATTAGATCTTGATTCAAGTTGTAGGAATTTGTACCAGATATTCCTAATTTTCAAATCCTACATATACAAAAAGCGGTGTCTTAATAAAACAAGAGGCCCAGGGGCCACAGCGCTCACCTGAGCACATCGGGCTTAAATTTCACCCCCCCCCCCCCCCACGCATTCATCATTTGAACAAACTAGAATCTACACAACCTGAGGATGATTCCGTATAAAAATGAGCACATTGGGCTTGAATTTCAACCCCCCCCAGGCATTCATCCTTTGAACAAACTAGAATCTACACTACCTGAAGATGATTCCATATAAATATCACTAGTCATAGCTTTGAAGTACTTGAAAAGAAGATTTTAAAAGATTTCCCTATATATCCCTATGTTAAATTTGGGTCGGCCATTTTGGCCCCACCCTAGCTCCGGGGGTCATGATTTGAACAAACTTGAATCTACACTACCTGAGAATGATTCCACATGAGTTTCATCTTTCCTGGCCCAGGGGTTCTTGAGAAGAAGATTTTTAAAAAACTTTTCCTATATATTCCTATGTAAAACTTGGGTCGGCCATTTTGGCCCCACCCTAGCCCCGGGGGTCATGATTTGAACAAACTTGAATCTACACTACCTGAGAATGATTCCACATGAGTTTCATCTTTCCTGGCCCAGTGGTTCTTGAGAAGAAGATTTTTAAAGATTTTTCCTATATATTCCTATGTAAAACTTGGGTCGGTCATTTTGGCCCCACCCTAGCTCTGGGGGTCATGATTTGAACAAATTTGAATCTACACTACCTGAGGATGATTCCACATGAGTTTCATCTTTCCTGGCCCAGTGGTTCTTAAGGTAAGGGTTGCGACTCCCTTCAATATTTAATTTTTCAGTAATGTACACATGTTATACATCAATCTGTTTAGGAAGATAATCTGAATCATTGAATAAGAATTTCATAAAGTTTGCCCGCACAGTTTTTGGGGGAAAACATGTAAAATTTAAGGGTTTTCATATTTTTCTCATTTTCATATTTTAAATTTAAAAATTGATATATTTTATGAAGTGTCATAAAAAAATATTAAAATTGGCATGGATTCCATTTACAATTAAATAATAAATAATATTTTTTATTTTCACCTTTGAAAATACAAGAATTTTAGTTAAAAACAGCATTTTCCCATTTTTCTTCATAAAATTGAACCGTTGCTATGGCAACAAACAGGCAAAATTAACCATTTTACTCATCTACCGATTTCACCAAAATCCATAAAATTGTTAATTGCATTATTTTAATTATACTCGCCTAAAAAATGATGTATGTCCCCAACTTCGTTTCCATGGAAAAAAGGCTTTATAAGGTGTTTTCCTCATAAAAATTACGCCTTTTTTTTTTGGATTTTCAAAGAAATCATTGAAATCATTACATCAAAGTGCACTTGTCCCAAAATTTTACATAACATTAGTTGTCTGTAGAATCAATATAATAATTCTTATCACTAAACAGTTTTTTTGTGTTACTAAATCAAGATTATCTTTTAAGACCAAGGAATACTTAATGGTGTTGGAATGGTTAATTTTCAGAAGTATACACATATGCTTCAAAGATCATTAAACATGTATTTACTCAGCATTGTTGCTAAAGAAATTGCTGCTGTTGGAAAAACAATTCTGTTAAATCCTCTTCATGACCAGTAGCCATGATGAGTAATAAAACAATTAAATCAAAAAATAACAAAAATCCTTTGTTCACTAATAAACCGCGGGAAAACCACTGCTGCTTAAAATAACCACGTCTGCACTGAAGCCCAGATAAAAGCGCACTGAGGCCAGATAGGCTAGCGCTATCTCATGTGGTTCTGTAATGAACTGGACAGTGATGAAGTAGAACTACAAGTATTAACAAATAACAATGGACCATTTGAAATGCACTTAGCTCACTTTATTTGGTTTACATAGCAAATTAATATTTCTGAATTCGTAGAAACTCTAAATTTTGCTAAGATAATGTGAACTGTTATGAATTTGACAAGAAATGGGAAAAAATTAACAATGTTACAACTTGACACATATATAAATATTCCCTTTGCATTATGAATGAATATCTTGTAACAACATCTATGAAATACATGTATTCATGTAATAGTCAATCACCAATGTATCACATAACCTTTCTTCTTTCATCTTTATGAAAATTAAGAAAGCAAATGATGAAAAGGATATTAAAATGTGAATATATATATATCCTCAACAAAAAAAGAAACGCATATTCAAATTAGATATGAGAATATTCAGTTTAACCTTATTTTATCAAAAGTGATTTTAGAGTGTGTTAATTGTGATAAAAATCAAGCATGCCCTATGTTGCAAATTGAAAAGTCAAATTAATGTCATTTTCAACACCCCCAAATTGAAGAGGCTATGCAACCTGTTCTTGGTCTGTCATTTGTGTTCTTAGCGGGTGGCGACGAACGTTAAAATGCTGCAAAGCTGATTAATGTACACTAAATTCAGTTGCAACCTCCTGTTGCATAGTTCCATTTAGCATCATAGTTAGCCCGCGTTGCATTCATCTTTGTTAAGGCGTGACATTGCAACATCAACATTGTTATAAAAATTTAAATATGGGTTTAATTATAGGAGTGTTTATTGTTTCTCTAAATCCAAAATATCAATGAAAATAGACCACTGATTTACAAGAAATCTTGAAAAACACTATTTTCATAAACATAATTATTCAAGGGAAATTACTCAACACTTTAGGTTTAAAACCCTATGTTGTCCTTTAATTATATCACAGGTATCCAATGATAAAAAAAGGTAGTTGTTTCATATACTTTTTCAAAATTTCTTTGATGAGTGAAACAATATGCGTTTCTTTTTTTGTTGAGTATATGTACAATAATAGTCAATAGCTAGACCTTTTTGTCATTCAGTTGTGAATGTCACTCTTCTTTCTCCAGAAATCCCACAAGAGATGACAAATATTTTGTTGTTAAGTGCACTTTATGACTATTCAATAGCAATTTCAGTCCATGGTTTCTTGTATGAGCAAGTCTTAAATGAAATGGAGTAACACCACTCCTTGCCAGCTTTGATACGGCCGCTACAGATATGCACTTTTGTTGTAATAGCTCTGTGTATTTACTTTTAACCTCATGAAAACCTATGTGATAGAGATCATTGTCTTTGACTTCTTTTTCTAACTTTTCCGTAAATAACACAGTCAGGACGCGGACATCTTCTTTTGCATCATGTGCATGGTAGGTGCAGTTGATGACTTTATTAACTAGGTTTTCCTGCTTGTAATTGCCAACCTCTGATTTTGCGAAGACTCTTTTTGAAATTTTTAGAGTGTCTACAAATCCCACCACATGTTTTGAAAATACTCCCAACAAATTAAATTCTCTCAGTCGGTTCGTAAGAATAGGAATGTCAAAGCTGCAAGCATTATGCCCAACAAGCACTGGATTCTGAATTTTCTTCATGTACTCCAAAAAGTCTAAAAGGGCCTCCTGAATAGGCTTGGCACTTACTTGGTTTCCTCTGTGGATCATGGTCTTTGTATCCCAGTTGTACAGTATTCCATTTACAGAAGAGGCCTGGTCAGTAATTCTACAGCGAGGTTGAACATAAACGTTGAAATCTCCAGCTGCTATCTGCAAAATATCACAGTTCCTTCCCCTACCTGTTGTTTCAATATCAAATGTGATATACTGAAAGGAATTTTCTGTTGGTAGTGTCAATCTTTGTGGAATTTCTGTTGTCTGATTTGATTCGTGCTCTTGAGTTGTTTCAACAAATTGGGAATATGTTGTACCTTCATGCATTTCTTTTGTGGCCTCTTTACTGCTCTTCTTTATCTTCTTAACGAGACGTTTTCTCTTTGCTTGAAAACACATAGCCTTGGCTTTCTGCAATTTTCTTTTTGCAGCAATTTTCCTTGCAACCTTCATTGTAAACTCTCCAGGTGATAAACCAACAGCTTTGTTTACCTATAAGCAACAAGAGGCCCATGGGCCTTATAGGTCACCTGAGCATTATGCAACAACTTTCCAGCGATTTAATTCGATTAATGTTTTAAGCAAGATGCTATGGCATTTACAATTTTGAAAGAGGCACCATTTGATCATCATAACAATACACTTAGCAGTTGCTTAGTTTGTTTACTTAATACCCATAGGCAGGGTGGGGGAACAAAAAATGCATTTCAAGTAATCAGTAATATTCAGCAATAATCAGTAATGCCCCTATCACACATGAACCCCTGACCCTTAGGCCTAGATCCACACATTGCACAATTTTTGAAAAGGCACCCTTGCTTTTCAAAAATATTTGATTAATACCAAGGAGCAGATCTCAAACAATTCATCCAGTTTCAGTATTTAAGTACACCCCCTCCTATGGTACCCCTGACCCTGGGGCCTTGAAATTCACAATTCTGGAAGATTAGGGTCCTTGCTCATCATAACTACATAGGTAGTTCATCTGCTTAATACCCAAGAGCAGAGAAGAAAATTTTCAAAGATTTAAAGTATTTTCACTATATAATCAATAGAGCCCCACCCTATAACTAGAACCCCTGACCCTAGGGCCATAAAATCAAAATTTTGGAAGAGTTATTCTTGCTCATCATAACTATGTACTTAGTTTATTTAATTCCTAGGAGCAGAAAAGAATTTTTTTCAAAGAATTCATGTATTTCCATTATATAATCAATAGAGCCCCACCCTAACACTAGAACCCCTGACCCTGGGGCCATAAATTTCACATTTTTGGTAGAGGCACTCTTGCACATCATAACTATGCACTTAGTTAGTTTATTTAACACTCAGGAGCAGAGAAGAAGATTTTCAAAGAATTCATGAATTTTCACTATATAATCTATAGAGCCCCGCCCTAACACTAGAACCCTGACCCTGGGGCCATAAAATTCACAATTTTGGTAGAGGCACTCTTGCTCATCATAACTATGCACTTAGTTAGTTTATTTAATACCCAGGAGCAGAGAAGAAGATTTTCAAAGAAATAATGCATTTTCACTATATATTAATTTAGCCCCACCCTAGCACTAGAACCCCAGACCCTGGAGTCATAAATTTCACAATTTTGGTAGAGGCACTCTTGCTCATCATAACTATGCACTTAGTTAGTTTATTTAATACTCTTTGTATTTATAGGAGCAGAGAAGAAGATTTTCAAAGAAATAATGCATTTTCACTATATACTAATTTAGCCCCACCCAAGCACTAGAACCCCTGACCCCGGGGTCATAAATTTCACAATTTTGGTAGAGGCACTCTTGCTCATCATAACTATGCACTTAGTTAGTTTATTTAATACCCAGGAGCAGAGAAGAAGATTTTCAAAGAATTCATGAATTTTCACTATATAATCTATAGAGCCCCGCCCTAACACTAGAACCCCTGACCCTGGGGCCATAAAATTCACAATTTTGGTAGAGGCACTCTTGCTCATCATAACTATGCACTTAGTTAGTTTATTTAATACCTAGGAGCAGAGAAGAAGATTTTCAAAGAAATAATGCATTTTCACTATATACTTATTTAGCCCCACCCTAGCACTAGAACCCCTGACCCCGGGGTCATAAATTTCACAATTTTATATATAATCTATAGAGCCCTGCCCTAACACTAGAACCCCTGACCCTGGGGCCATAAAATTCACAATTTTGGTAGAGGCACTCTTGCTCATCATAACTATGCACTTAGTTGGTTTATTTAATACTCAGGAGCAGAGAAGAAGATTTTCAAAGAAATAATGCATTTTCACTATATACTTATTTAGCCCCACCCTAGCACTAGAACCCCTGACCCAGGGGCCATAAATTTCACAATTTTGGTAGAGGACTCAATGCTGGTTACAATCATGCAAACAGTTTAACTGCTTGATGTCCAGGAGTAAAGAAGAAGATTTTTAAAGATTGCATTAATTTTAGTGGTTTTTGCCCCACCCCCCAGGCCCCAGGGGGGCAGGGACCATGAAATTCATAATTTTTGTTCCCCTTCACCCATAAATGCTTTGTGCCAAATTTGGTTGAAATTGGTTCAGTGGTTGCAGAGAAGAAGCTGAAAATGTTCAAATGTTAACGCACGACGCACAACGCACGACGCACGACGACGGACGAAAACAGATAGCAATAGGTCACCTGAGTTTACTCAGGTGACCTAAAAAGAGAATTTAATTTGTTTACATGAACATGCATAAATATTTGTTCATACAAACAAGAAAGCTAGCAGATGTAACAAACTCTTAGCATTGATCTAAATCTTACTGTAACAAACCAATGTCTGTTACCAAGTCTTTACTGAACATGGCTGTGACCGTGCATTTGGAGGTGACCTTGACCTTATCAAGTATTGCATTTAAAACTTCATTTGTAGGGAAAGCCATCTAGTTATAATGCTAGTTGTTATTGTGAACATGGTGAAAATTTACACCTTAACTTGGTCAAAGTACCAACATAACTTTGGAAGTATTATATATAATCCTCCAAAGATTAGATTTTAATCAATACTTTATACTTGTTGCATGAATTTAGACACATGCCTTTGCTAAGTATCCCTGGCCCTCATTCTTCTGCAGTACAGATGCTGATATCCTTCCTCTCAGAGATTTGCTGGATCCAAATGACCTAGTGTAAGGTTTTTAAAACACATTAATTAACATAAATTATGTTTTAAATAATAGTCCAATCCACACTTTGCAAAAGTTGTTTTCTTGTGTCTGGTCAATCAAAAGGTAAATGGGGAAAAAAACATTGTTTCCGTTCTTAAGACACTACCAAACTACAAATTTTGAGGCATTATCAAAATGCAAAATGACAACTTACAGCTGTGGGAATTCAACAGTTTTTCCCCAAATGGCTATCAAGGGAAATAAGCTTAAAAAGTGTGGATTCAACTATTCATTGACAAGTTACTGGTACCAATTAATTAAAACATCTGTTGCATTAATCTAATTATTGATACAATTAAAAACATTAATGTCTCCATCTATATATACTTGAACATTACATGTATTTTTAAAGTATTATCAGAAACTGAGCAAGAGGATTATATTTACTTGTTTTTGGGAGCCTTTGTTGAGACTATGAAATTAAAATTCTCATTTGCTTGGGTAGATCCTAGGCTTGTTAACGAAGCAGCTCTTCCTTTCAGGTTTTCTATGACATCAGTCAGAGCATTCTTTAGATGAGGGCAAGTGAGAGGTTTTCCTTCTGGTAGACTACGATACCTGTCAAATTATTAAAAGATCTTATATCCACAGAAATTTCAACTATGTCTTTATTTGACAACAAGATTTGTTTTGCCTTCAGACTCTGGCAGCAGTTTCCCATGTCTTCCCCATTACCTCAGGACAACTGTTCCCTCATAGTCATGAAATAATTGTATACTGTTGAAGTAATAATTTTTTACCTGAACTGTGAAGGGTTCTTCAAAAAACTGCACCAGGTAACACACGCATTGGCACAGAGAGTGTGGTCGCCATATAGATGTGGGACTATTAGATCTAATGATGATTTCAGCTTCATTGTATCTTTTCCCTGACATTCCTTGATAGCATACATACACAGGGGCCTGTAACATACTGTATTTGATTTTACGTAATCACTGTATGTATACAAAAAGAGAGAGGGAAACAACGTCAACCCGAATTTACACAGGGTCGATCTCGGAAACGATTCGTGTTTTCAATAAAATACCTTGCAGTTAGTGAAATAATGCCTGGGATCATTCAGCAATGATCACTCTTTAATAACAAGAGGCCCACGGGCCTTATAGGTCACCTGAGCATTATGCAACAACTTTCCAGTTATTGAATTTGATTGATGTTTTAACTTAAGCCAGATGATATATGGCATTCACAATTTTGAAAGAGGCACCATCATAACAGTACACTTAGCAGTTGCTTAGCTTGGTTACTGAATATCCATACACAGGGTAGGGGAACAAAAATGCATTCCAACTAATCAGTAATATTCAGCAATAATCAGTAGTGCGCCTAACACTGTGACATAATCCCCTGACCCTAGGTCCACACATTGCACAAATTTTAAAAAGACACTCTTAAAATTGCCTATCAAAAAATAAATGAATGTTTTACGAATACAAAGAAGCAGATTTCAAACAATTAATTCATTTTCAGTATATAAGTAGAGCCCCCCCACCCCTGACCCAGGGTCCTTGAAATTCACAAATCTGCAAGATTAGGGCCCTTGCTCATCATGACTATATAGGTAGTTAATCTGCTTCATACCCAGAGACAGAGAAGAAAATTTTCAAAGATTTAATGGATTTTCACTATATAATCAATAGAGCCCCGCCCTAACATCAGAACCCCTGACCCTGGGGCCATAAAATTCATAATTTTAGAAGAGGCACTCTTGCTCATCATAACTATGTACTTAGTTAGTTTATTTAATTCCTAGGAGCAGAGAAGAAGATTTTCAAAGAATTCATGTATTTTCAATATATAATAAAACTAGCCCTGCCTTAACACCAGAACCCCTGACCCTGGAATTATAAAATTCACAATTTAGGTAAAAGCACTCTTGCTCATCATTACTATACACTTGGTTAGTTTATTTAATACCTAGGAGCAGAGAAGAAGATTTTCAAAGAATTCATGTATTTTTACTATATAACCTATAGAGCCCCCCCCCCCCCCCTCCTCAACACCAGAACCCCTGACCCTGGGACCATTAAATTTACAATTTTGGTTGAGGCACTCTTGCTCATCTTAACTATGGACTTAGTTTATTTAATACCTAGGAGCAGAGAAGGTTTTCAAAGAGTTCATGAATTATCACTATATAATCAATAGAGCCCTCCCTCAACACCAGAACCCTTGACCCTGGGGCCATAAAATTCACAATTTGGTAAAAGCACTCTTGCTCAACATAACTATACACTTAGTTAGTTTATTTAATACCTAGGAGCAGAGAAGAAGATTTTCAAAGAATTCATGTATTTTTACTATGTAATGTATAGAGCCCCGCCCTAACACCAGAACCCCTGACCCTGGGACCATAAAATTCACAATTTTTGTTGAGGCACTCTTGCTCATCATAACTATGCACTTAGTTAGTTTATTTAATACCTAGGAGCAGAGAAGAAGATTTTCAAAGAATTCATGTATTTTCACTATATAATCAATAGAGCCCCCCCTCCCCTCAACACCAGAACCCTTGACCCTGGGGCCATAAAATTCACAATTTTGGCTGAGACACTTTTGCTTATCATAACTATGTACTTGGTTAGTTTATTTAATACCCAGGAGCAGAGAAGAAGATTTTCAAAGAATTCATATATTTTCACTATATATAATCACTAGAGCCCCACCCTAACACCAGAACCCCTGACCCTGGGGCCATAAAATTCACAATTTTGGCTGAGACACTTTTGCTCATCATAACTATGCACTTAGTTAGTTTATTTAATACCCAGGAGCAGAGAAGAAGATTTTCAAAGAATTCATATATTTTCACTATATATAATCAATAGAGCCCCACCCTAACACCAGAACCCCTGACCCTGGGGCCATAAAATTCACAATTTTTGTTGAGGCACTCTTGCTCATCATAACTATGCACTTAGTTAGTTTATTTAATACCCAGGAGCAGAGAAGAAGATTTTCAAAGAATTCATGTATTTTCACTATATATAATCAATAGAGCCCCACCCTAACACCAGAACCCCTGACCCTGGGGCCATAAATTTCACAATTTTGGTAGAGACACTCTTGCTCATCATAACTATGTACTTAGTTAGTTTATTTAATACCTAGGAGCAGAGAAGAAGATTTTCAAAGAATTCATGTATTTTTACTTTTTATCTATAGAGCCCCGCCCTAACACCAGAACCCCTGACCCTGGGACCATAAAATTCACAATTTTTGTTGAGGCACTCTTGCTCATCATAACTATGGACTTAGTTGGTTTATTTAATACCCAGGAGCAGAGAAGAAGATTTTCAAAGAAATAATGCATTTTCACTATATATTTATTTAGCCCCGACCTAGCACTAGAACCCCTGACCCTGGGGCCATGAATTTCACAATTTTGGTAGAGGACTCAATGCTGATTACAACCATGCAAACAGTTTGACTGCTTGATGTCCAGGAGTAAAGAAGAAGATTTTTAAAGATTGCATTAATTTTAGTGGTTTTGGCCCCACCCCTCAGGCCCCAGGGGGGCGGAGATCATGAAATTCACAATTTTTGTTCCCCTTTAGCCATAGATGCTTTGTGCCAAATTTGGTTGAAATTGGTGCAGTGGTTGCAGAGAAGAAGCTGAAAATGTTCAAATGTCAACACACGATGGACGACGGACGAAAACGGATAGCAATAGGTCACCTGAGTTTACTCAGGTGACCTAAAAATATCATTGTGGTCATTTAAGAATTGTGTAAGTCGTGTTTTGCGGATCCGATATCCTGTCATGCAGTCGATGTAGTTTAAGTCGTCCACTCAAGTCGCTACACTTGCATGCAAGACTTAACGCGAGATGTGATTGGTCAATAGTGCTTTTCTAGAACAAATCTGACCAATCGGGCTCCGCCTTTTACCTATCATGGGTTTTTTCCAAAATGTCGTCTGTTCTAGGCTCGGGGCCTTGTTGTGAACGAAAAAACCACCGTATTTATTCAAATCGGAGAGGTTATACATTTTAATTGCAATTAACAAAAGAAAAAGATGATTTTCGTGAACGCTGGATCTTTAGTTGTGTTTTCCATCTCCGGAAAGACTTTAAAACTGGAGAAAATGTGTGAATTTTACCTCGTTTTAGTGGACGACTTAAAGTACGTCGACACGCACAAGTGAATATCGAGTTAGTATTACCCAACTTAAAGGCTATATAAATAAATAAGGTTTCTGTTTTATTAAATGATATTTATTGTAGTATGATTCTAGTTAAAATTTAATTCGCTGCATTGTTTTTTCTATGGAAAACGAAATATTTCCGAGATCGACCCTATGTAAATTCGGGTTGACGTTGTTTTCCTTTCTCTTTTTGTATACATACAGTGATTACGTAAAATCAAATACAGTATGTTACAGGCCCCTGTGCATACATAATGCACCTTCCTATGTAAGAAATAACATTCGGCTGCTTTAGAATTTTATATTTTTGACTCAGTTTATAAAGTTTTGATGTGATGCTTTTTTTTGTGTGGTTTGTGTCATCTTTCTTCTCCACAGTTGGAAAAATGGCTTGCAAACGGGACGTTGTCGTTGAATCGTTATCGCCATGGATTACGCTTATTGGATAACCAGTTTCTTCCATTTCCTGGGCCATCGATATTGCCATGTCAGGTTCCATACCTTAATTTTAGAATTTAATAAAAATCAAATTTTATTCACAATAGGGCCAATCAAATTTCATCAAATGTGCTTGCACATTTTTAAAAAATATACTTTTAGCACCTAAACTGAAAGCTCAAGTGAGCTTTTCTGATCACCCCTTTTCCTTCGTCAGTTCGTCTTTAAACTTTCACATTTTCAACTTCTAATACTAAAGAACCACTAGGCCAATTTTAACTAAACTTGGTACAAAGCATCCTTGCGTAAAGGGGAATTTAAATAACTAAAATAAAATGTCAAGTTGTCCCCTTCTAAGGGGAGATAATTAGGAAAATACAAATTAGAATGGGGTCATTAAAAACTCTTCTAAAAAATCACTGGGGCAGGAAAGATGAGACTTATTTGGAAGCATCCTGGGGCAGTGTACATAATAAATTGTGCAAATCATATCCCTTGGGGGTAGGGCAGGGCCACAATGGGAATCGGAAGTCTTATATTGAAGTATATAGGAAAAAATTGTTTAAAAACTTTCTTTTCAGGAACCACTGGGCCAAAAAAGCTGAAACTTATGCGGACATCCTGGGGTAGCGCAGATCCTAAATTGTTCGAATTATGACCCTTTTGGTTTGGGCAATGTCAAGATAGAAATTACAAAGGGGGATTAATCTTTTAAATATTAAAGTGGCCAAAGTTTATCAGGCGAGTGCCCATGGGCCTCTTCTTCAGATAAATTTTCTTGTAGTGTCTCACCTTTAAAACCTAATGACAACTAGAAAACTGACCAGTCAGCAAGGGCCCCGACATGGGGTAGAAGTAAAAGGGTGCAGCTTACGGAATGATTAAAAAATGTACGAAGAATAAGCAACAGCAACCGTATTCTTAAAATTTCAAGATAATTCCTGAATATTCAAAAACCTAAAAATAATATCCTTGTATTTACATTAGGCAGTAAAGAACAACTTATCATTGAATGTACATTTAAACAATTATGAAGCTTGTGTTATATAGAATGCCAGCCTTCAATGAATGCAAATATCATGAAGGCTTGACCTAAACTTCAAACAAACAGTAGTTGCAGACAAAGGTTTTCATTAATCTTAAAGATAAAGAAAAGCCTACTAAATTTTCTGCAGCAGGCTAGATAATTAATCCCAAAGGATTAATTGTACCTCTCTTATCATTTTCTTCTAAAGTTACAATAAGAACTTTTTCAGTATTAATGATAGAATGGGGTTTTTATACAACTACATGTACCTTAAAA